CTTTTGCATTTCAGGTATTGCACTTTCTCCAGTAAGCACAAATCAATAGAATGTGGACACATATGTGATGTATTTACATCTAGTGTACTGATTTATGATAGGCTTTTTATTATATAAATCAACACCAATGACTTATGCAATCTCTCTGTCTACATTATGAAAACAAACGAAAAATATTATAACAGTGAAATTCCTAGTAATTCAACTAATTCCATAATTGCAATAGTCTACTTCTCTATTAAAACAACAGCGGTTGAGTAAGTGTATTTATTCAGCGATCACAATCGCAAACAATACAGTCGAGATCTCATGACAGAACACTGAACGATGCTTTCATTTAGATCGCTAAACTCCAGCTTGTTTGTTTTTCAGATCATCTGGTGATCATCGCATGGCTGCCAGATTGCTTAAAATAAGCAAAACACAGCGGGCAGAAAATGCATCAAATTAAAAGCTCTGATTCGGGGATTAGAACTCTTGATATCTGGCAACCGCACTCATGAGAGCTCGCGTGTAGAGCAGTCTGCAATAACATTTTGTCTCCTTTTTTGACGAAAATAAAAAGAGGTTTTTGGTAAAGTTTTTATCTTTTTGAATACATTTTAGTCTCGTCTTATTTCGTCAACGAAATTGCATGTTGATATAGTTTTAGTTATCGTTTATTGACCTTATTGTCGTCTCGTCTTAGTCATGGGAAAAAAGCTCGTCAACGAAATTAATTTAGTCTTCGTTAACGAAATTAACACTATTCCTAAGCATTTTATGTTATATCTTTGAGCATCCCCTTGAATTAAAGCTTAAAGTCTGCATTTCAATCACATCATGATTATTTTATTTCAAATCCATTGCAGTGGTGCATTTCTCCAGTCTTCAGTGTCACATGATCCTTCAGAAATCATTCTAATATGCTGATTTGCTGCTTAAGAAACAATTTATTATTATCAATGCTGAAAACAGTTGTGCTGCTTTATATTTTTGCATAAGCAATGATTCATTTTTCAGGATTCCGAATGGAAAGTTTCAAAGAACAGCATTTATTTGAAACATAAATCTTTTATAACATTATAAATGTATATCATCCTTGCTGAATAAAAGTATTAATAAAAAAAATAAAATAAATAAATAACTGACCCTAAACTTTTGAGCGGTAGTGGATGTGAATCAGATGATATTATTATATTTATTATCATTTAAAGTTTACTGTATACAATTCTAAACGTCAATGTCTAAAAGTTGTCATACAACTACTGGGTTTAGTTATGATTTATTAAAGTAATCAAACCCACTCCTAACACAAAAACACACACAGAGTAGGTCACTCACAGTCAGCATGGAAAACATGCACTGGCAAACGTTGAATGCATGTCTCCAGTTATGATACAGAACCATGCGATAGTTCTTCCTCACGGTCAACAGCCACCGACAAAGTGTCTAGAAGGAGAAAGAAGAGATGTGGTGTTACGATACAACCAACAATTGTAAACAGTAGTTCCTGTCTTCTAATCTGATTGGTCTAGAGTGCTTAAAAACCGAGCATAACATGTTTTACTGGGATGTCTGGCTCTTTAGAACTATTATCGCTGTAATAACTGTCCAAATTGTACTACTCAATATGAACTTTTATCACATTTTACTTTTATAAATGAATACAGGCTTACGGTCAAATCACAGCCTTGCTGATATTCAATACAACAGCACTCTTGCTTATGTGATATTGCTGAGTTAAAGAAATGCAAACATGTGAACCTCATAGTCTATCTTGAATTTCTGCACCATTCCCAGCTCCATAAACATCCGAAGAGCTGCAGTGACCATGGCATCCACATCCAGAGAGAAGTCGTCAAACGATAGTTTATCAATGCCCAGTTCACACACCAGAGGGATGTTTGCTGCCTGAGGAAGAGAACAATAGAGAGAGATAGTGAGTGTGAGTGTGAGTGTGAGTGTGAGTGTGAAACAGCACTCTTGCTTATATGATATTGCTGAGTTAAAGAAATGCAAACATGTGAACCTCATAGTCTATCTTGAATTTCTGCACCATTCCCAGCTCCATAAACATCCGCAGAGCTGCAGTGACCATGGCATCCACATCCAGAGAGAAGTCGTCAAACGATAGTTTATCAATGCCCAGTTCACACACCAGAGGGATGTTTGCTGCCTGAGGAAGAGAACAATAGAGAGAGATAGTGAGTGTGAGTGTGAGTGTGAGTGTGAGTGTGTGTGTGTGTGTGTGTGTGTGTGCGCGCAAAAAAGAGGGAGAGACGCAAGAGGCAGAAAGGACAGAGTTTGCTCTCGACTGCTTTAAAACAGATGCTTTGTGAATGGAACGAAACCAGCAGCTCCATAAACATCCGCAGAGCTGCAGTGACCATGGCATCCACATCCAGAGAGAAGTCGTCAAACGATAGTTTATCAATGCCCAGTTCACACACCAGAGGGATGTTTGCTGCCTGAGGAAGAGAACAATAGAGAGAGATAGTGAGTGTGAGTGTGAGTGTGAGTGTGAGTGTGTGTGTGTGTGTGTGTGTGTGCGCGCAAAAAAGAGGGAGAGACGCAAGAGGCAGAAAGGACAGAGTTTGCTCTCGACTGCTTTAAAACAGATGCTTTGTGAATGGAACGAAACCAGCATCAGGATTTTCAGTAATTCGTGTGTTAATGCTGAGTGAAGCTCAGAGTCGTGCTAATGAGGCACTACAAATAGATTCACACACACATTCGCAGATCTAATGAGGGACTGCTGGCAGGAGGAGCTGCGTGTTATGCTGTGACGTCATTAACAAATTCTAATTGTAGATATTTATTAATATAATTATTCGTACCCGGTACTCATAAAGAAGAACAAGAAGAGGAAACCAAAACATGCTGTAGTTTTCACCATCCAGCATGACACATTACACTGCAGTGGATGCTTTTACCCAGTTATTACAGGGACGATCCACGTCAAACAATGTCGTAATCTAAAAATGTATTTACTCGTATAGTCCAAACCCATAGTTTTTTTATTTTTATTTCCATCAAACACAAAATTAAATATTTAGCAGAATGTCCAAGCTGCTCTCTTTCATACAATGAAAATGTACTGTTATTCATACAGCCATGTTTAATAAAGCACCATAAAAGTATGAAACAGATGGTTAAAGGCCTCTTTGTGTTTATTTTATGGTTCCAAAGTGTATGATGATCAAATATATGTAATTATTGTTAATAAATATCGATAGCACACATTTATACAGAAATTTATATATGTTGAACTTTAGTACTTCAACTTCTATGCTAAATGACAGAGCAACATTTCTAATTTTTATTTTTAAAGATTACGTTTTTTATTTATTTCTATTATTTTATTTTAGCTTCAACTACCATTTTCAATAGTTTTAGTTAACAAAACTGGTCCAGCAATATAGTCCATATGCTCAGCTTTTTTGATAGCTTTTTCTGATGAATAGATGATTAAACTCCTGATTTTTGAAACATTTTCTTTGTGTGGAAAAGAGTGGGGTGGAAACTCACGTGTGGGTTTAGTTTATCAGCCTCGAGGTCTGACCCCTGCTTAGAGTTGTGTCAGTGACAGATCGCGAGAGCCATGGGAGCTTATATATTTAGTGGCATATATACATATATATAGTGTGATATTCCTGGATTTGGCTTTAAGCAATGGGTTCTTCATTCACTCTTGGAAACATGCTGGTACTTGTAAATGAAATGCCATAAGAGCTCCTGGCAAAATCCAGTTAACACGTTAAAAACTAGCATTTCACCAGAAAATGAAACCATTATAAATGAGGCTTTTCATTAACAAGACTCCACGGAGACTATATCAATAATGCACAAACACTGATGAGATATTGAATAGTTTCGTTCTGAATTATACATACTGCATAAACAATACAGGCTGATGTACTGAGGTTAATATATCATGAATCTGGTTATTTCATTATTGATGTTGTACCAAACAGCACTGAAATGTCAGACAGTCTATTGGGTATGATTCAGTGACGCATTACTGTTTACCTTAAACTTATCCACCTCAGTCTTTGAGCAAGTGGCGTGATATGACAGCACCTACAAACACATAAAATCCATCACTAAAGGTTCATATTTTATGCATTTCTATATTTTATGTTTATAATATACACATGACACTAGAATAACATCATAGAGATGATCGAGAGAGCCAGCAAACTGGCCGAATTAGACCAAACCCCTGACACTACAAGAACTCAGCGCTGCAGCCCTCTGATTGGCTGATGGGAGTCATGTGAGCACAGGGTGTTAGAGAACGATGGTGGTGTCCATTCATAACATACACATTTACATTTATGCATTTAGCAGACACTTTTATCCAAAGCGACTTACAGTGCATAAGGCCTCTTTGTGTTTATTTTATGGTTCCAAAGTGTATGATGATCAAATATATGTAATTATTGTTAATAAATATCGATAGCACACATTTATACAGAAATTTATATATGTTGAACTTTAGTACTTCAACTTCTATGCTAAATGACAGAGCAACATTTCTAATTTTCATTTTTAAAGATTACGTTTTTTATTTATTATTTCTATTATTTTATTTTAGCTTCAACTACCATTTTCAATAGTTTTAGTTAACAAAACTGGTCCAGCAATATAGTCCATATGCTCAGCTTTTTTGATAGCTTTTTCTGATGAATAGATGATTAAACTCCTGATTTTTGAAACATTTTCTTTGTGTGGAAAAGAGTGGGGTGGAAACTCACGTGTGGGTTTAGTTTATCAGCCTCGAGGTCTGACCCCTGCTTAGAGTTGTGTCAGTGACAGATCGCGAGAGCCATGGGAGCTTATATATTTAGTGGCATATATACATATATATAGTGTGATATTCCTGGATTTGGCTTTAAGCAATGGGTTCTTCATTCACTCTTGGAAACATGCTGGTACTTGTAAATGAAATGCCATAAGAGCTCCTGGCAAAATCCAGTTAACACGTTAAAAACTAGCATTTCACCAGAAAATGAAACCATTATAAATGAGGCTTTTCATTAACAAGACTCCACGGAGACTATATCAATAATGCACAAACACTGATGAGATATTGAATAGTTTCGTTCTGAATTATACATACTGCATAAACAATACAGGCTGATGTACTGAGGTTAATATATCATGAATCTGGTTATTTCATTATTGATGTTGTACCAAACAGCACTGAAATGTCAGACAGTCTATTGGGTATGATTCAGTGACGCATTACTGTTTACCTTAAACTTATCCACCTCAGTCTTTGAGCAAGTGGCGTGAGCTGACATGGCCTACAAACACATAAAATCCATCACTAAAGGTTCATATTTTATGCATTTCTATATTTTATGTTTATAATATACACATGACACTAGAATAACATCATAGAGATGATCGAGAGAGCCAGCAAACTGGCCGAATTAGACCAAACCCCTGACACTACAAGAACTCAGCGCTGCAGCCCTCTGATTGGCTGATGGGAGTCATGTGAGCACAGGGTGTTAGAGAACGATGGTGGTGTCCATTCATGACATACACATTTACATTTATGCATTTAGCAGACACTTTTATCCAAAGCGACTTACAGTGCATTACAGTGCATACAGACTTACAGGTGTTTTTTTTTTTTTTACCAGTATGTGTGTTCCCTGGGAATTGAACCCACAACCTTTTGCGCTGCTAACGCAATGCTCTACCACTGAGCCACAGGAACACATACAGACTGATTCTGAAACCGATCTGCACTACAGGTCATGCAATATACATTTCATGTCCGCTATAGTACATACTATTACATATTAATATACTGACAATCTGGAATCCTTATAAATACTATCAGATTAATCACAGAAAACAATCCTGCTTTCCTCTAGTTAGAGAAGAGCTTCGAAAACTCAATTAATGCTCACACTCACTCCTACACTCGCTGTAACGTAGTTATGCAGCTAATATAATTACGCAGCACCCTCACTTCCGCTGTTTCATTTTTGTTTTCTCTCTCATATTCTTTGCTCATTGATGTCAAAAATGTTAAAACTTTTTCCCCTTTGCCTCCTTTCAGTTTGTCGACACTAGAATAACATCATAGAGATGATCGAGAGAGCCAGCAAACTGGCCGAATTAGACCAAACCCCTGACACTACAAGAACTCAGCGCTGCAGCCCTCTGATTGGCTGATGGGAGTCATGTGAGCACAGGGTGTTAGAGAACGATGGTGGTGTCCATTCATAACATACACATTTACATTTATGCATTTAGCAGACACTTTTATCCAAAGCGACTTACAGTGCATACAGACTTACAGGTGTTTTTTTTTGTTTTTTTTACCAGTATGTGTGTTCCCTGGGAATTGAACCCACAACCTTTTGCGCTGCTAACGCAATGCTCTACCACTGAGCCACAGGAACACATACAGACTGATTCTGAAACCGATCTGCACTACAGGTCATGCAATATACATTTCATGTCCGCTATAGTACATACTATTACATATTAATATACTGACAATCTGGAATCCTTATAAATACTATCAGATTAATCACAGAAAACAATCCTGCTTTCCTCTAGTTAGAGAAGAGCTTCGAAAACTCAATTAATGCTCACACTCACTCCTACACTCGCTGTAACGTAGTTATGCAGCTAATATAATTACGCAGCACCCTCACTTCCGCTGTTTCATTTTTGTTTTCTCTCTCATATTCTTTGCTCATTGATGTCAAAAATGTTAAAACTTTTTCCCCTTTGCCTCCTTTCAGTTTGTCTCTAAAGTATGTTAATGCATGATTTAAAAAAAAAAAACACTTTCTGACCTTCTAAACTGAGCAGTGTTATTTTTTTCAAAGCTGAATTAAAAAAATTAACTGGAATGTCAGAATTTTCGAATATATCGTTTGTCTCCTTATGTTTAAGCCTATAAAATCTGCTGTATCATATTTTATTCACATATTTTTAAGGCCTCTAAATAATCAACATGATCAAAACTTTGCTGAAAAACCTATTGTACACAATCTGCTACATGCCTTCTGTCTTCTGATTGATAGCTCAGACTTTTAGCAAGTGATATAATAATTTATATTTTTTAATTTAATTCAACTTTTTAGTAAACGTAAGAATAACTTATATATATATATATATATATATATATAAACATTCAATAAAATATTTTAGTTCATATGTCAGGCTTTACAGGGTTAATAACATCTGCACTGAAGCTGCGTGAAAATGTTTTTTTCTCATACTGATCTGATCTGATCTGAGATGTTACAAAGAACATTTTCAAAGAACAATTTCCTGTTTGCTAGGTGACATGAAAAAGTGAATATTAAATATGTTGTATTCATTTTACATCACAACTATTATATCCTAAAATGTCCTGTTTATTTCCAGCTATAATTAAAACAAATCTTAGATGTTCAGTGTGGTCTCCACTGTGGACAAAAGTGTGCATTAAAAATAATAATATTAGAAATCTTAATTAATTTGAATAATTTATTAGTAAATGTTGAAATTAACATTAAATGTTCTGTTAATATTACTTAAAGGGCCTGTGCTAACAACGAATAGTTGCATTACTAATGTTAAAGATGAAATATTGTAAAAAAAAAAAAAAAAAAGTACAGTATATATATATATATATAATATTTATTTATTTTACAAATAAATATTGTAAAAAAATGTATTGATGACTGGTAGTTAATGTTAGTTAATGCATCTACCAATGTTAACTAATATGTAATAGAACCTTACTGTAAAGGGTTTCCGTTTAACTTAACTCAGTCAGCCACGGCTTTGTGAGAAAAAACAACAACAACCCTACAGAGCAGCAGAGCAGAGCAGTGTTTTACTGTAAAAACACCATCATCTGTGTTTCCAGACGATCGTTTGTTCAATTGAAGTGAGTCGATTGAATGCTTCGAAGGTAAGAATTTATTCCTCTGCGTCCCACTGTTAGATTAAAGGGGTCATATTCTGCTCTTTTATAGCATTTTAAGTCCGCTTATAATGTCAGCAAGGGTTTCTTGCACCAACACAGTAATAATTTGGTTTGAATTGATCATTTTCCACCCACTGACTGAATTAAACCGGCTGTTTTTTTGGTGTGACAGCTTAGTTTCAATAAATCTGAAGATTTGTGTAGTGAACATTATTGTTTGTCTACTTAGTATATTAAACGTTTATTTCAAAACCACAAGGAATATTCAGTTTTTGGTGATATGATCCCTTTAATAGATGTAATAGAGAGATGACTGCTGGGTGAGATGGTTGAGTGTCAAATCTACTCTGAGTCAAGAGTGAATACAGCTCTAACAGGAACTAGGTCAATATATTCCACCAATCACATGCTCCCATCTTTACTTAAGTTTCTAATCTAACAACCCACCTAAATCTCCAACTAATTTACCACCACTTTGGAAACATCATAGCAATCACGGTCTTTGGAAGTGTGTGTGTGTGTGTGTGTGTGTTCGGAGAGACCTACATCCAAAGCGACAGACTGTTTGGCCCAGGACTTCTTCACTTGGTCATACATAATGGTGTTATTGATTCCCAGTCCACAGAATATCACAAATGCCTAAAGAGAGAGAAAGAGACCATGGAGTCACACATACAGTAAGCCCACAACAACCAATTTAAACTTCTGAAAGGGGTTTTTAAATCTTCATTTCAGGGGTCTGAGAGTGGTTTGCAAGAATTTTGTTCTTAAACACACCTAAAACGTTAACCATAAAAAATGATAAAAACACACAACAAAACTACCAAAAATTTAACTAAGGCTACGTTCACATTGCGAGCCTTAGTGCTCAATTCCGTTTTTTTTCTCAGATCCGATTTTTTTGTGTAGCTGTTCACATTGTTGTTTTAAATGTGGCCAATATCAGTTTTACAGTGTGAACAGATCATGGTTTTGAAGTGACCCGCATGCGCAAAAGAACAATTGCTTCTCAAAACTAGTCCAAAACTAACTCAACCATGATCAGGGGGATAAATATCGCATTAGTGGGGTCGCATCGACCCACGAAAGTTGAAAAGCATCCCACGGCAACAGTGGAAAAAGTAGCCAAATTCTGCGGGGAAACTCTAGATTTGGCAACACTTGCGCAGCGTGCGGTCATACGGAAGTAAACACGGAGGACATAAAGTAAGCGATTATGCGTTTATTTATAGTGTGATCTGCTGCTGAATCCGGCGAAATTATGTGCAGGCAATATGAAAAGTAAAGGATGTGACAAAATACAGCAGAGTATTGAAGCTTTTATGATACGAGCCCTCATGTTTTGTTTGCATATAGAGATGTCACTGTAATTCTTATGAGTTCTGACCATAGACTGTAGGTTCTGACACATCACACTTCCACTGATTACCTTTCGCTACTGTCTTGATAACTTTGGGTATGTAAAATCATTGAATTGTCTCCCGTCAGCGCGGAATTATGACGAATGTCGATCTAGAGTGACGTAAAAGCCGCATGAAATCCGACATGACTGTTCACACTGTGGTCGCATTGCAAAACATCTGACATGTATCGGATTTAGTACCACATATGGAAGTGGCACAAATCAGAATTGAAAAGATCAGATTGCATGCGGTTTGTTCTGTTCACACTGTGATGACAAAAACAGATCAGAGTCACACGTGAGCAAAAAAATCGCATTTGGGCCACATTTACCTGCAGTGTGAACGTAGCCTAAGGGTGTGTTCACACTTGTCATGTTTGGTTCGATTAAAACTAACTCATGGTGCGCTTGCTCTTAATGCGGTTCATTTGAGTAAGCGTGAACGCTAACATCCGAACCCTGGTGCGCACCAAACAAGAGGACCGAGACCACTAAAAAGATGGGTTTCGGCCCAATTTCAAACGAACTCTGGCGTGGTTCGAGTTCATACACCACATACATTCATACATTTCATACAATCAGTCTGCGCAGTGCTGAACACACCTATTGTTTGGGGTATTCGGTAAGTTTGGCCAATATACGTCATTCAACCCGACCAATCAGGTTGTGAACATAAGACTATGCCTTTAGGTTTGGTATCTTTAGGTTCGCTGTCAAAAATGCCAGTGTGAATGCTAAGTGGACCAGAAACAAATATATTGTTTTCTTTTTTTTGGTCCGGACCAAACGAACCAAGAGAGCCGAACTACAAGAGTGAACTAAAAGTTCAAATTTTCCTAAAAGGAAAATGAAAATGAAAAAAATTAAACTATTAATAAAAATTATAATTGTATTTCATTGATACTAAAATAGCACTGGTTTGAATGGTCCAGAGAAACTGAACCCTTATTATAATTAATTTAACAGTAGTGGTCCATTTTCAAGGAGTCCACTTTCCAGGCCATTAACTTTGTGAATGCAAAGAGAACCGGGTTCTTTTCCCCTCAGTTCAGGTTTTGGTCCACTTCAAGTGTTCTGAGTTTTGTTTCAAAACAGACTCAAGACATTAATATGGAGTTGGTCCCCCTTTGCAGCAATAACAGCTTCCACTCTTCTTTGAAGGCTTTCCATGAGGTTTTGGATTGTTTCTGTGGGAATTTTTGCCCATTCATTCAGTAGAGCATTTGTGAGGACAGGCACTGATATTGGATCAGAAGACCTGGCTCACAATCTCCATGTAGTTCATCTCAAAGGTGTTTGATAGGGTTGAGGTCAGGGCTCTGTGTGGGACAGACAAGTTCTTGTTATGTGCACTCAGTCATGTTGGAATAGAAAATGGTCTTCCCTAAACTGTTCCCACAAAGTTTGAAGCATAGCATGGGATAGTTCACCCAAAAATGTTCTGTCATTAATTACTCACCCTCATGTCATTCCAAACCCATAAGACCTCATCTTCCGTTCATCTTCGGAATACAAATTTAGATAATTTTGATGGAATTTGAGAGCTCTCTGACCCTCCATAGACAGCAATGCAATTAACACGGTCAACGCCACCGTGTTCGCGAGATAGTGACACCAGCCAACACTTTCACTTCAGTAAGGAGGTCTCTTGTTCAGGCAGCATTCAAGCGTTGTCTTATTCGACCGTAAGTGCCCTGCGAAGTGGACTTCACATGATATTCCGCCATGATTCCAGTTCCAAGGGAACGTACACGTTACATTTAAAGTGCATTCAAGTGTGCGAGACATGAATTTATATTGTATTTATTTACAGAGGTATATTATGTCACACTTCACACTTCTCTAGTAAGTTTCGTCTGTGTGTGAAGACAGTAGCGCAAATCCGTGAATGAATGTTCCGAAGTTAAATAAACTTCAACTGAATAAAGTGGAATTGAATTGAAATAAAGTTGAATAAACTTCAACTTTACTGTTCAGTGCACTGATGTCAGACTCATTTTGGATAATAAAGTTTATTGTTAAATGCCCTGCCTCCATTACGTATCTCTGTCACGTCATTATAAGTGTTTCATCACCACATTTGAGTGATCATTGCAAAAAAAATTGTTTATGAATATATATTCTGTTTATGTATATACTGTATTCTATATATAGTACCAGTCAAAAATTTGGACACATGAATGGGAAAGTGCCCAAACTTTTGACTGGTACTGTACTATAATATACACAAAGAATATCGGCCAATATATCAATATCGGCCCTTTTCTACTCCCTAATATCGGTATCGGCCCCCAAAAAACCCATATTGGTCAGGCTCTAGAGAATACAGTAGGCCATAATTCTCTCAAATCACTCTGAGACCCTTGCAATGTACTAATTGTGAATATAGCGTGTGTGGGTTTATGCATACATATGGATCCCTTTAAAGTGAATCTTTTAAAAGATTCTTGGTCTGCAATACAGTTCGCTTAAATCATGTTTGATGGTAGCAAAGCAATCATAAAGAAATCTCTCAGATATCATACCTCAAACAGCCTCTGATCTGCATCATCAAATGGTTTTCCGTCTAATCTGTTCAAGACCTGAGCCACACCTGCGACACACACACATGAAGACAGTGAGATTGCATGCTGTGTTTCATGACCCATATCCGGTCCTTTAAAGCACAGCAATGCACTGCAGCCATGGATGAAGAATCTCTCTCTCTCTTTCTACATGGCTAATTAAACAGTGTGCTGTGTTTTAGTATGTAATTATAATGATTGTTCCTTTAAGTGCAAACCCTTCCCCCCGTTCACACACCTAACACCTCCCCCATCCTCACCATCTCATTATAGTCAATCAGAAATGTGGTGCTTGCTTGGACAGCTTGTACATGCATATACTGTATATGGCTCCACCATAACACTGCCTATAATTACAACACATTTTATCACTTGAAGAAGCCTGTTCGCCTGAAAGCCCACTGATATGTGTGGGGGAAAAAAATATTTTTAAGTAATCCTAAACCACAATTTGTGTCCAGTTATCATCTCAGTATATAGTTACACAGCTCACTGCATCTGCATAGTATATACAGAACACCCCATGCTATTTTAAAAACAGCATGTGAAAGAGTAGCATTAGGCAATGATAAATGCTCTAAACAGTAGCATGATACAGTGTTGTCACATGACCTCATTACATGCTGCATGATACAGTGAGAGGTGCCTAGTTATCACCATATCATTAAAATGGTGATTTAGCATGAAGAATAATAACAAAGCAAGAAATGTTATTAGCTCTGTAAAGCCATAAAGGAAAAATATTTTATTTATGTATTGTATGTAATGCTTTCGTATTCTCTGTCAAGAGCCAAATGTCGCTTTTTGTCTTTTTTTTTTGCAGTTGAAACTTATTCTGTGGGAATGGGATTGAGATAAAACTTTAGGATACATCTTACTATAATAAGTATTATATAAATTTTTTAGATTACATTTTTAGTAACAATTTAGTTTAGGGACCAGTTCTCACTATTAACTAGTTGCTTATTATCATGCATATTGGCTGTTTATTAGTACTTATTATGCACATATTAATGCCTTATTCAGCATGACCATATTTTAGATCCATTAATCCACCCCATACATAAACTCAACAACTACCTTACTAACTATTAATAAGCAGCAAATTGGGAGTTTATTCAGGCAAGAGTCATAGTTTAATAGCCCTCAAACTAAATTGTGACCATATTTTTTTTGTATTTTATTTATTATCAGCTATATAAAGCAATTAAGAAAAAATACTACATTTATTCATTTACATATATAATGTTTATAATGTTTTATATAATGTAAAGGATGAAATGTTACAAAGCAGCAGGTTGATACCGCTTCTCATTCTCATTTATTAGTTTATTATACATTATTTCATGTACACTTTGGTTGTGTAGTGCACATGTTTATAGTAGGCATCTGGGCATCTCATCCATACAAAACATTTGTAGTATATACTGCATACTACAAAAATAGTAGTATGCTGAATACAATTCCAAACATACCCAAGGACTTAAAAAAGCTACAGTATTTATATAAAATCTTTCATTTATGGACAGTGAGGTTTCTGCATTAAATCCTTTTTCTCCTCATAGTGCTGAAATGTTTCCACACTGGCTTTATACATGATTTGAAAGAAAAGAAAACTGGTTCTGAAACTATGGCAGTGATGAAGAAAGAGAGTGAGAAGGAGAGAGAGAAATCTTTTGAATGAAGGCATCCTTGACTTTTGCTTCTACTGGCTGTTTGTGCTTATAATGACTTTCGGTCCCGGACAGAGTCCTCCCACACACACACACACACATCCACCCACACACAGTGCATTTGTGCAGAAGCACACACACACACACACATGCTGATGTGACACACAGATATACATTTAAACAGACATTATCCTATATAAACATGTTTGTCTTCCATTCTCTCACACACATCACTGAACTCTAGCACACAACATAATACAACACAGCCGATCAGGGAACATCAGTACATACTATATGTAGTGAAACAACAGCGCTTAACTGGATAACTTACCTATGATTTGGTGGTTACTGTTCCAGATAGGGACACATAGGACAGATCTAATATGGAAGCCAGAGAACTGATCTGCCTGAAGACATTACAAACAAACTCTTGTCACCATATCAAAAACCAAACGATCTGACTATAAGCATGTGAGGAGAAGTGAGCAAAAATATGAGCTCATCTGAAGACACGGTGTTATATAATCTTGTGCTGCTGGCATTTTGAAGATGCACAAGAGCCGACAGAGGTCCAAGGTTTTAAACAGAGCAGAAGTCTCTCTCATCTTTAATCATGCTCTTTAAAGAAAGATTCTGGGTTAAATACAACTCTTTCTGTAATATGCTGTCCATTACCACAGAATACAATTTCGACTAGTTCCTCAATTATAAAGTTCAAATGTATATTACTGCAACAATATATAGTGTGAAACTGAGACTAGTCCTTTTATCACATTCAAATTCTGGGTAAGACTGTTATGATGTTAATTCGAGTGCATTCAAGTGTAAACCTTTAAAGGTTCAGTAAGTGAAAACTGGCACCCAAACAATAAATTTTATGAATATTTGCTAGCTGTCTGGTTTTAATTATTTATTTATTTTGTGCTCTTTCCTGCATGGCGATAACAAGATCATGGGTTAGATTACCAACAATATTCACATGCATGAGCTTATAAAAATGTTTGCCTTTATATGTACTGAACTAATTAATCTATTCCAATTGTATTCATTTATTTATTGTTGTTTAGGGATCTTACTTCAGCGTCGAAGCGTGGGTCTTGGTAGGCATCGCTGATATTCACAGGAAGCCCAGTGGAGGCGACCAGCTCTGCAATGCTGTTATTAATCAGCCAGTCAGAATAGGACGATTTTTCCATGCTGTCCTTGAAACTGTGAATAAGACGAAGAGGAAGTGACATGTGCTGCTATGTACAAACCCAAGACAACCATTATTATTACTATTCCTCATACTTTGGCTTAGAGATGACATCTAAACTCTACACCCACAGTATTAAACTTGTGTGCAACTCGACTTGCACCATTTGTGCTTTGGACATGAAACTGTGTGATTTATTGAGAAAGCATAGTGCTCCCTTGTGAAAATAAGTACACTTCAGCATACTTTTAAAATGAGTATGCACTGTACAAAAATATACTTTGTAAACTGAAGGTAATGGCTTTGGACACTAAACTGCATATTAACTACACTTGAACGAATGTGTTTCATAATTTATATTTATATTAAACGCATTTATCTAAACTTTAGAGTGTTTTTTTCTTAGAAATTAATTAGGAGTTATGTACATCTTCCTATGCAATTTCATAATTATTTCTATTGTCTTTGAAATATGGTTATATTGTACAGTCAAATGTACTAACAGACATCTATAGTTTTAATGGCATTTCTATTGTGACTTTTATTTAAATATATGTGTAATTACACATTTGCAATGATGAAGTTTCAATTTAGTAAAATATAACTTAAAATGTAATACAGAATAACACATTAAAGTCAACAATACTTTACATTTGCTAGTCAACACATCAAATCAAGTGTACTTAAAGAGTACTTTAAGTACACTAAATTTTTTTGAACTTAAAATTTGACATTATTACAAAGTGAACCCTCTAAAGAAACATAGTCACGAAAGTGTCTCTCTTTCATTTTTATTCATTAATATTCTCATGAATATTTTAATATCTGCAAGTAGTTTTTAAAAAATACTTTTAAGATATGAAGTACACTACAAGCGCACATTCAATACAATTAAGTGCATTTTTTCACAAGGGGTTCGGCTCCATTTAACACATTTTACCATGCTTTATATCCATTCAATTAACCAGATTTCTCCTAAAAATCAGTAAAAATGTCTGCAGATGTCATTTGGGCTTCAATGTTATCATGTAAACACCTGCTGCTAGTACTCAAGTTAGTGTTCTCTTCAATTACGCAACAGTTCGGACCCAAAATTACAATGTATAAAGAGACCTGTGGGGACAAGCAGGTGGAATTAAATGCAAGCTCGGACCAAGCGATCGAACAAAGTGTGAAAAGAGCCTCAGACGCTTCAGCCTGAGGAAGAGCTGACGGATGCTGAGGTCCACATGCTGAGTGGAGCGTCATTCCCTCTCCAGTAATTTACAGCTAACAAACTTTCCTCTGCATTTGAATAAGCCTCTATGGAGCTTGCAAAAGCAATGAGAAGTTAACGCTCCGACTCTCATAAACGCCCACGTGCAGCCGGAGAGACAGTCCTGATGTAGACTCTCTCTCTTTTAATCTCTCTCACGTGGTACATTTCAGGCTCTTGCGCTCTGGGCTGAGAGAGTCTGATCAAACATCTTCTCTCATACTCTCGATCACACCCCAAAGATCACACATGATTAACGGCGCTGCGAGCTGCTGTCTGAGGAAATGTCGGAGTCAGAGGGATGAATGGGAGCGTGTGAATGTGTTGTGCGGGGTGCAGCTGAGCATGCGAGATGTGTGTTGTTGTGTGTGCGTCTGGGTGAGCAGCAGAGACGCGTCTCTCTGCCGTTTGGCCCCGAGCTGTTTCAGAGCGCAGCAGAGGACAAATCATCCTTACATAATGGCTCCGGCTGTACCTTTAGAGAAGCCAACACAAAGGATGAAATCACTAAATAACACACATAACTTTGAGAAAATCCCCTGTGTATGACAGTAATATATTACTGAAGCTGTATAATGTCAAAGCTTTGAAGCAGTGTGACATATTTTGTGCATTTTTTCAGTCTGTATTCGATCATCTTGTGTCTCTAAACAATATTTTACAAGTTTATGTGTTTGTATAATCCTTTAGTGATAAATGAGTGATGTGTACTATAGAAAACTAGATTTTTTCAAAGTAAATTTAAAGTGAAAAGTAGACTTTACAGTATACGTTTAAAAAGAGTACTTATTAAAATACTATAAAAGAAAATACTTAAGTGTGAACTGAATGTAAAGCTTTCGGACACTTAATTGTAATGAAATGAAAACCTACTATAACCTATGGAACAAGAATGTGACCAATAGGAAAACTTCACACCGACGTACATGAGTCACACAGCCTGTTAGGAGCTATACACTGTTAAAGTGTGCAAATTAACCTGCGCTAGTCTCTAGCAAACTGTTCGCGCAACCTCTGCGCATACGAGACGCTTCAGATCAATGCTGTGCCATGCTTTTACTACAGATGGATGCTTTGAAGCAAATTTGTTTTGAACCAATGGTTCAGAGTGCATATCAAACTGCCAAAGCCATGTGATTTCAGGAAACGAGGATTCATTACGTCACAACTGTTTCAAAATATTTTTAATTTCAATGTTCATATTTCTCATATTTAATGGTATTTGCTAACTGCATTTAATATATTATAATTTCAATAAAACATCTGCAATGGGTTTGTTTTTATGCATACATTAGTTTTCTGACCCTGCATAGCAAGGGAACTACCACATTTAAGGCCCAGAAATGTAGTAAGGACATCATTAAAATAGTCCATGTGACACCAGTGGTTCATTTTATGAAGCTACAAGAATACATTTTGTGCACAATGAAAACAAAAATATTGACTTTATTCAACAATTCTTCTCTACCGTGTCACCATCTGCCGCCATTCATGAGAGTGCACGACTATTTTATCGTTGCTATCTGTGGAGGGTCAGAGAGCTCTCAAATTTCATCAAAAATATATTTTTATTTATTAAATATTAAATTACTTCGTACTCTTACGGGTTTGGATGGAACAACATGAGAGTGAGTATCCCTTTAAACTTGGGGTGAACTATCACTTTAAAGCATGATAAATATTATTTAAAACAATCACTTAAAATGCACTTAAAGTAATTTGTGTAAAGTGATTTGACATTATTACAAAGTGCACTTTTTTTTAAGTGTGTTAAACAGTCATGAAAGTGCATTCTCTGTAAGCACACATAAGTGGCATTTTAAGTTAATTAATATTATATTATCATCAGCAAGTAAAGTTTTTTCAAATACTTTTGAGATTTGAAATTCACTACAAATGCACATTCAATACAATAAAGTGCACTT